TCCCCCCACATTGTGTCCAACAGACTCCAGCACAGAATATCCAATGTAGCACTTGGATGGCCTGATGGTGAGGTCTGCTGCCCTCACTCGCTGGACTAATTGTCTAAGTCTCTTCAAATGGTTTTCCCATCTTGTAGTGTGTATCAGAATGTCATCCACATGGTGCTCGACGTTGGTGGTGTTGTGTAGCATCCTCCTCATCATGCGGTTGAATCTTGCTGCTAAATTGACCAACCCAAATGACATCCACTTAAATTGATAACGTCAATCTAGTGTCACAAATGCTGTCTTTTCTTTAGATCCCATCTCCATCGGGATTTGCCAGTAACCTTTACTGAGGTCGATCTTTGAAAAGAACCTGGTCTCATGTAGTTTTGCCATGATGGCCTCTGGGTTGCCCATAGGTTCATAGTCGAACCTTGTCACGAGATTCAACTTCTGGAAGTCTATGCAGAGACAGTTTGATCCGTCCCTCTTCTTCACAATTACAGCTGGTGAACAGTAGGCAGAATTTGAAGGCTCAGTGATTCCAGCTTCCAACATTGCCTCAACTTCCTGCTTTATCAGATCTCTCATTGCATTGGGCATCTGATAGGGCTTCACTTTGACTGGATCCATGGTTGTGGTCTCGACTTTGTGTGAACAGTGTCTGTCTTTCCTGGTTTATCCATGAATATATTTGGGTACTGGTACAGTTGGTCCTGTAACTCTCAATTTTCCTTGCCAGTCAGTTCTTCGCTGATGTTGACATCTTTTATGTTTCATCTCCACTTTGTAGTCTTAGGTCTAATAGGTCCTCATCTTCTAAGACACTGTCTTCTGGTTCTACATCTATGATGGCCACACCTGCAACATCCATCTCTGTTTTAATAGCTGCACCCATCAGGTCTTCTTCTCTCCCAAAATACTTCTTCAACAGATTGGCATGGTAGATCTTGGTCTTCCCGTTCACATTCACCTTGTAGTCCATTCTGTTGAGTACTTCCTGTACTTTAAAAGGTCCTTGCCATTGCAGGGTGAGTTTGTTGTGGTCTGTGGGCAGCAGAACTAAGTCCTTTGTCCAACTTTATCATGTCGATCCTTGGCCTTCTTGTCATTAAAATGATTCTGACTACCTTGAGCTGCATACAAACTCTGTCGAGCGAGTTGAAAGGTTTCCTCCAGTCTGTTACTGAGGTCTAATATATACTGGTATGTGTTCCTTACTTCTGACTCTTCTTCTCCCGTCCATAGCTCTTTCAATATTTGCATCGGACCTTGTCCTGTTCTTCCCTACAGTAACTTGAAGGGTTAAAATCCTGTACTTGCTTGTGGGACTTCTCGATAAGCGAATAATACTGCCTGTGAGTACCTGTCCCAGTCATGTGGTCTCTCTTGGCACATATTCTTTAGCATACTCTTTAAAACTCCATTGATTCTCTCGCAAAGTCCATTATATTTAGGATTATATGGGGTGGTAAAGAGTTGCCGAGTACTGATGAGTCTGCACACTTCCTGCATCTGTTCTGAAGTAAACTGGGTCCCTCTATCACTCAAGATTTCTCTTGGAAAGCTAACTCTGCAAAATATCTCCAGCAGGGCTTCTGCTACTCTCTCTGTCTCTATCTTTGACAATGCCATTGCTTCTGGATAACATGTCGCATAGTCGACTACTGTTAGCACATACTGGTTGCCCTTGTCAAACACAGATGCCAGTGGCCTGATCAAGTCCACAGCGACTCTACTGAAGGACTCTTCTATGAGAGGCATCTCCCCTAATACCACTTTGGCTACCTTCCCTCTAGGTATTGTCCTTTGGCAGATATCACATGACCTGCAGAATCTACTCACATCTCCAATTACTCCCGGCCAATGAAATTACTGGTGATTCTGTCTGCCAGTTTCTTTGTTCCTAGGTGTCCTTCCACAATTGATTCATGAGCGAACTTCATCACTTGAGTCTGGTATTCTGTTGGTACTATGATCTGTTTAGCTTACCCCCCCCCCAGTGGCACAGCTGTATGTCCGCAGACTTACAATGCTAGAATCCTGGTTTCGATACCCGTGGTGGGCAGAACACAGATAGCCACTTGTGAAGTCTTGTGCTTAATTACAAACAAACAAAAACTTCCCCAGTATAACTGCCTTGATAGATTCGGTACAGAACTCCCTTCTGTTCCTCTATTCTATAAGTATCTTCCCCTTTGTTTTGTGCTTGGTTTTCTTCTGGGGATTGTCCCAAAGTTTCTGCAGTGAAGGGTATTTCTTCTGTGCTTCCTTCAGTTCCTGCAAACCTAAATTCGGGATATCGCCTTTTGACACCAGCTGGGTGGTGACAGCAGATACTTCATCAATCTTCTTTCTGTCTAGTTCCTCAAAGTTTCTACTACCTGGTATGTTTCCTATTACCAAGACGTGTATTGGTTCATTGATACACATGGCCTCAAAGTTTCCTACATAATATGGCGTATCCACCTTTATTTTTGCTATGGGAAATTTTCTCACTGTCCAATTAATTAGCACACACACAAGAGTATCTTGCCTGTCATCTGATCATTGGATGCTAAACTGCATCCAGTGTCTCGTAGAACCTTCACTTTCTTGTCCCCAACATAGCCTTCACATATATTAGCAGATTATTATTTGTTGGCATCTGTTGGTATTTATCACATCCTCCCATCACTATTGGCACTGTTGATCCATTTGCTAACTTCAGCCGACCATTAGTCGTGCATTAATCAATCACGTTTTCTCGTATGGAATTTGATAAGTAGTCTTGAATATCTTTCTTCTGGCAGTAGCGTCTATAATGCCAGTCACTCTTTTCTTGTTTCTTACCAACACTGTATTTGTAAACGGCTCCAGCTGCTGTATGTTGAGATTTCTGCTGTTGTTTCCTATTAATGGACTTGCACTCTTTTGCAATGTGCCCCATTGTATAACAAACATAACATCTTTTTTATCTTCTGTCTATTAGCCTCCTGTAACCTTTGGTAAACTGCTTCTGGGCAGCCATTACTGGTTTCAAATTTATCTGGACATTGTTGGACTTGCCAGTTATACTACCTCCATGTGCTTCCATCGACTGTTCTGCCAACTTGATCATCTTGTCTACATCTTTTGGTTCTTTCTCCTTCAAAAACAGTGACATGTCAGTTGAACACGTGGTAATGAGCTATTCACATACTAATAGGTTTACAAGTCCCTCAAAGTATTTTCACACATGGCCATATCAGTCCATCTGGTGAAATATCGCCACAGACGTGCCACAAACTAAAGTACAGTTTCTCCAGTGTCGGG